ATGTTTATACAATTACTTAGAAATGAATGTTTATACAATTACTTAGAAATGAATGTTTATACAATTACTTAGAAATGAATGTTTACCCTGGACTTAAGCCACAGTTTTATCCAGTAACCTAAGTCATCCACATGCCTTGGATCAGAGTATATCAACAGCAAGAAAAGATAGAATTTTTTTTTGTATTCCATACAAATTCACATAGGCAATTTAAATCCTCTGAGTATTAGAGAGATGTTCTTACAAGGGCAGAAGGGCTCGGAACACTGCACTGCTCACAACTGAGCCAATTCCTTGTGGTAATTGGTGAACACCATCCACACGGTCATGTTTGGGCCGCATTGTTTAGACAGCAGGGATTAGGATCCAAGCAGACAGCTCAGCTACATTCCCCACTTAAGTCCCAGCTATTCTTTGGGGGAATTTAAGGCTTCCGGTATAAATCTAATTTGATTCAAACCACAGCCACACTTCTGAATAAGCTTTTTGAAAGAGCAGAGACAGTGGATTGCTTCTCGGCCTCTCCACCCTTCTTTGCACAGTAGTTCAAAACAGAATTAAAGCACAACAGATCTTTTCCCTTACTTTTCATGAAAATCCCTGGGCAATTCATCTTACCAAATTGAAGAGACAAGGGGACATGGGATTTGTTGGGAAAAGAGTCAGGAGATGAGGAGACAACATGTGTAGGCAATTATGTGTCTGCCCCAAGCTGCTGCTGGATCATTTCCTGGTAACATTCATAGTACCGGAAGCCCTGGGTTACAAACATACGCCTTATTGTCATACCACTTGTCCAAGTGGCACTTGTCCTTTTATGCTATATTACTCTCTTTGAAACGACTGCACGGACCCCCATGTTCTTCACCACAGTCACCTTGACTTGCTGCACATTCAGCTTTGGCATCATTGGAACTACTCAGAGCTTTTTCTTGCACGAAAGTGAAAACCATACATGCTCTTCCTGCCTACCTACAAATGCAACTCAAAGAAACACTAAGGGACAGTGTGGGAGCTGGGAACTGCTTGCAGTGAAAATGGGTGGGACAGGTTGGAAGATCACTCAGCAGCCACTGACAGAACAGAGGAGGAGCTCACTTACCTGACAAACTGACTGAATAAGGCTGTTGTGTTGCGGATGATCCGAGCAGCCTGGGACTCCTCACGTTGGCATCTCTGCAGGGTTAATCCATCATCCGTGTGGCCTTCCTGGTGGAGTATGACCTACCGTGGGGCACGGGACACCACCAGACCCACGTTAGACATGGCCCCACAGCTGAGCAGTCAACACTTCCCTCAGGGGCTCCCTCTGACGCCTTTTCCCAACGAGGCTCCCCTGGTGCCATTTTGAAAATGGGACACTAAAGTCATTTTGCCCAAATGCCGTATTACTGAGACATGAATCATTCCCATGGCATGGTGCTTTGCTGAAAAGGAAATTTTATGCACCACGGTGGTAAGAATTTTCTTGGGCCCAGTTGGGTAATTTGATGTGATGGAAACATGCTTTATAATAAATGTTTCTCTTAAAATGAACTTAAAACCATACCCTTGGAGATGGGAAAAGTCACTCTGCTCAGAGCCGATTTCTCCAGAGAAGACTGTGGGTGAGGAAAGACAACTAAAAGCCAACCTCTCTTCGGGGATTAGGTTTGGGTTTCTCTACTGAACTGCAGCTACATTAGGTTAGAGAATGGCAGAATTTGAGGAGCACCTCAGGGTACTGCTGTGCACACCAGGGGGCTGAAGCAGTGGGCTTGAGAATATGAACTCTGCCTTCACATCAGCTGAGCTTGGATCAGTTGGGTGACTTTGGTCACCTTAATCCTTGTCTTTGCCTCCACTTCACTCCCTGCAGATAGATTTCTTTTAGCTGACTGTCAAGAGGAATAGCATTTGCACAACATGCTTCCAGGAACAGGTGCTCAATAAGGGGAAATATCTTACGGAGGTCATCTAAACCAGTTATCTAGAGACGAAACCGTTTACTGATCCCCAGGATTTAATAACATTTTGGGGTCGGGCTAGATTTGGTGTGGAGTTCACAGCAGAGCTTTGTCCCTCGGAAGGTCCCAGCCTATATGAATGTTAATTAGGCCAGTTTGAACTTATGACTGACTCAAATTCCTAGAGATAATGTCCTCTTGATGGAATTCATTGAAGGGAGAATACTTATAGGTCTTGAAAGTCAAGGTACGTAAATAGGATACAGGATTTCAAAACCATTAGAATTATGATATTTGATTTATTCAATTTCCGACATAAAGGAACTTATTTTCCTTTCCATGTGAACATATCCTTTCATTCCATCCTTCTGAAAAGCATGTCCACATATAACAAATACACACGGGATGGAGAAACTGGCTGGGAAAGACTTAAGCTTGTTTTTTGGAAGAGAAAAAGGAAACTGTATCCTATCTCTGCACTGCAACTGAAGAGAGCTATGATGCTTCTGCTGCCATGTGGTTCACCAACTGTCACGAAACATTACTTGGTCAAAATTTCCCAGCAACTGGTTAACAATGTTGTGTTAGGATCTGGCAATACATTTGCCACTAGGTTTTCTTTGGCCTCGGTCCCAGGTTTCTGGTTGCTGAAGACCAAAATTCTTAGGTTTTGTTTGTTCAGATAACACATTCAGACCAGCTAGCAAAACAAGAAAGTAATGAGAACTGGGGAGAAGGCATTTGTTTGGCTTTTTTATTATGAGCCCTATGGATTGCCACAGCTCAATTCCTCGGGCCTTTGACTCCAGGGGGAGTCCTGCACATCCCCAGCTTTGGGCAGCTCAAGAGTGGAAAGGAACCTCCCAAGATGGGGAGAAAGGGGAAAGCTTCCCATAAGGTTATATGTATGTTACAGTTGTGTCAATAAAGAACTGCTGCTCTCTAACCCATGGCCACTGAGTCAATTCCAACTCACAATGACCCCAGAGGGTTTCTGAGGCTGTGAGTCTTTATGGGAGCAGACACTCTCACTTTCTCTCCCATGGGGCAGCTGGTTGGTTTGAACTGCTGACCTTACAACTAACAGCCCAACACGCATCCAACAAGGCCACCAGGGCGCCTCCTTTTCTATGAGGCACATTAGCATTGATCCGGCTAATCACTGGGCTTATGGTCTACCAGTTTCTCTAGGGTCCTAATTGGTTTGCTTCATAAAATGAGGAACACAGATTTGGACAGACTTTGTACTTTTAGAGGGGAACTTAAGCTATTCCTCAAGAAATGGGGTAACATGGTCCCGCTCCAAACAGCATGAGACCATAGAGAGTGGTTTTGGAAGCATGTCCCCCCAAATTCACACCTTCCCAAATTTACACACATGCTGGCAGCTAAACAAGTCAGTGTGCCATCGTCCTGGAAGAGGCAGGCAAGGACAAGCCCTACTCCACAGTGAGTTCTAGAGTTTTCCAAGTAGAGAGGACCCTCAGAGTGGCCCCCACCCAGAGTCAAGAGTCAAGACACACAATTCCACCATCTATACATGACATCAGTACCTTCTTTCAAAGTCAGGCCCTGTGGCATTTCATTTAGAACAATACTTTCCTGATGGCCAGTGTCCGCTCCTCCCTGACTAACAGAACAGAGTTAGACGGATTTTCTTGGGGTGTTGCCATGGCCACTCCCTTAAAAACAAAAACAAAACAAATCCCACCCAAACCCCAAAGCTCCTCTGGTTTTGTGTACACAAACACTGTCACTTCTCTCAAAAGCCTCCCCATCCTTCCAGGCTCCATTCAATGCCATGTTTTCTGAATGTTTCCAGTACTTTTACACTCCCTTTGAATACACTGTGGTGCCCAGTTCATTGCACCATGGCTATTGATTGATTTGTCTCACCCTTTCAACTAGCTACAAGTATCTTAGAACTGGAGATTCTTCATTACTGTGCTTGATTGTTTCTTATGTGGATCAATACATTAATTAAGAGACCTGTTTCAAACAGCATGGCTCTTCTACTTTCAAGAAGGTTGTGAGTGCCAGTTTTGAGGACAAAGCATATCTCAGGGTTCTGCCCATATCTGGCCAAGATTTGGGGAAAGGAGTTTTGTCTGTCCAGAAGACCCAGAAGATTGTGCATGTACGACTGAGCAATATTTTATTTGTGATGGGAGACACTCCTTAGTACAACAGTCCTGCCTTCTCTTCAAACTTTCCTTCAAACTTAGTAATAAGCCCCTGTGATTGTCATGAGAAAATCTATCAGGATAACTTCTTTGAGATTCCCCACAAAGAGCATCCATAACCTTCTGATCTGACCTCTGTATCTTAAACTTAACTGGCATAATAGATTCCCTTAGAGGCTACTCTTTTGATTAGATCCTGTTGTCTTAATAATGTTGGCAAATCCAGGACCTATTCTTGGTTGAGATTCATTCCATATGATCCTCAGTAACTTCAGTCTTGCTGATAAGACCAATAGAAAGGGCAGCTCTTTGAATGAACGGATCTTCACACAATTTTTTGACACCGTCCAACCAAATACTTGCTAAGGGCAAGATAGTCACTAAAAATGGAAAATGACCAATTATGTGAGATATTAACTTCAATAGCCACCACATCAGTGGTAATCCCAGGGGCGTCTTCTGCCAGTTTCTGGACTTCAGCCAGTTTCTTTCTTTTCTCTCCCAGCTTATCTTTGAGGTATTTCTGATTTTCCACTTAAAAACTGTTATTTTAAGTTGGGCACCATTCCCATAAACTTGTTGAAAAACTTCCATAATTTCTGACAATGTCCACTTGAGTTTTGTTAAAATTTTGACGTTAGCCCTGCTCTCAAAATAATCTCTTCAAGGGTTGTTTTTAAAAGGCGTCTTTTAAAAGACAAATATAAATCTATTACTGTAATTAGTGATACAGATGATTTACTAATATAAATGTATTAAGCATGTCTCCATTAAACATGTCTCGAACCATCCACTATCATGGAGACAAGTTCAAGCGGGATGTATTGGGATAAACCTGCCTGTGCGAGAACTGGAATTCAAGCTGTACTGCCTTGTGGACTTACTCTTGCATTGCCTTACTCTCAGTTACCAACACCTTTCTTACATGACTAGCATTTGGAAAGCTCTTGAAAGGTTCTGGAAAAATAAAATGCAAACGTAATGGATTTTCCTCATGAACTTGTTGAAGCCCCCTCACATATCTGAACAATATCTAAAGATAGCGCCCCCTAAGGCCTTCTTCTGGGACTCCTAGACCCCCCAGATTTCTTTTGTAAGATTTCCCCAAGAGAAAGCATCAAATTCTTGGCACCTCCTTTCTGGTTCCTATCAAAAGAAACACTACTAAGGACCCTGACTTTGGAGTGAAAAAGAGGCTGCACGTATCTAGGCTAGTTTCCCAACAAAGCGGGCTCTGGTAGAGCACACAATGCTGCATGAATTCTCGGCGGATTCTCTCTCTGTATCATACCCTCCTCCTACCTATTTGTTTCTACAAGTGTGTCGCAATGTGGAGCTTCTCTGGAGAGATCTCTGTGGTCTCTCCATTATGAAATTTGCACAAGAACTAAATTATCCAATTATATCCAGGGAGTCATATGCTAATCCCCAAACAGCAGATCCACCCAAAGTCATTTAGATCAGGTTGTGGAGTGCTCTGAATGAATCCTTTCCACTCTACTTCCCTCTCTTTGCCTCTCGTTTCGGAGATTTGCCAGCTATTCCACTGGATTTCACACTTACTATGGGGGTAAAACAACCACTCTGGGCTGATGACGTAACAGTAGAACTGGGCGCAGTGTGCCACAGAATACCTAGACTAGTAAGACGCAAACATATCCTCATGTCCACTTGATTCTCACACTACTATCTCCTGCCAGTTGATTCCACCTCAGGGTAAGACAATTCCAGAAACCCTTTATGACCTCTCACCTTTCGCTTTAGAGGTCCAAGGCGAGATGTTTTGGCATCCTGGGCTTTGTAGGTCACCCACAAACTGCTGGCTATATGCTGGACAAAGCAGACAGAGTCTCCATACTTAATTTCTGGAACTCCCATGCCTTCTATATCTCGTTTGTGACTGGAATCCAATTTCTCCTTGGTCTCCTAGTTTACAGAAAGGAAACAAATGCAGGGATGTCTGATTGAATAGAACTCAATATGAAAAACATACCACCTAGGTGGAGTTTGTAAGCCAGAGAACCAACTACCCAAATACTCATGGTGTATTTTGTCTAAGCCAGCATTTCAGAAAGACTTGCTCCATCTGCTGTTCCTTGTAGAATTGATGGGTTTAAACTTAGGGCTACCTTAGTGATTATATAAATCCATGGAGCAAGAGGGGAACTGGAAGGGCCTGTCTTCTGTTCAATTTATGTAGCCATCTTTTCTACTTTTCTCATCCTATCTTAGGACAAATAACCCTCAATGAACCAACTGATGTATCTCCAGCAAACAGTATTTTCCATTATTTTTAATGGATATCCTATATAAATACCAAGACAAAGCTTTGAATATACATTAACCCAAACTCACTGCCATCCAGTCGGTTTCCAGCTGTAGTGACTTAAACAGCAGAGAACTTCCCCTGCGGGCTTTTGCTGCTGTAAATCTCTGTGGGAGCAGAACATCTCATCATTCTCCCCCCACAGAGGGCATGGGGGAGGGGGGCGGTTACACACACTGCATTGGTGGTTAGCAGCCCGGCATGCAACACATTCCTCCACCAGTCTGTCTGGAATATATATCCACCTTGTATGTATCTCTTGTGGAAATCAGGGGACACTCTGAGCAGGTAGGGGCCTTTGTGCCTTAAGTCAAAGGCAGGACATTGAGTATTCATTTCTTAAGGGCCCCTTACATCGCCTCTAATATTTTATGCTGCACAAGGGCTTCACTCTTCAATTACTAGCCTTTCACTGCATCTACTCTCAAGTGTGGAAAGGAAGCTATTGCGCATCAGGTCTATCCTTGGTGACAACATAAAGTGCCTGTCCCACAGTGTGTCCCCAAGTAGACACCTGAAGCATGGTGACTTTGCCCCTTTCTCCACCATCAAGATCTGTGTCTGGCTCTGCTGAATGACTCCACTTTCGTTCCATTTCTTCTCTACATCTTGTATTAAATAGCTCATTTATAAAAGCTGTACGCTAGGGAGCATTTTGAATTGATTACAGAATTAAAAATGCAGCATGCTGTTCACTGCCTGTGACAACGCTCCTCCTACTCCTAATGATGGAAAACCAGTAGCACATGGATTACTTACTTACCATGCCTAAGTCAATGTATTCAATTATTTACACATATTAACTCTTCATAGTGGTTTCTAATGTAGTTACAAATATTATGGCAGCTCTACAGGTGAGGAAAGGATGGATATAAAAGGAAGTAATTTGCCGTGAGTTATGGAAAAAGTAATAAAAGCGCCAGAATTTAAGTCTAGTATGTTCAGCTCCTCATCTTTCTCCTGTGGAGTGGCTGCTGGCTTCGAACTGCTGACGTTGCAGCTAGAAATCCAATGAGTAACCCACTATGCCACCAAGAAAACAAAAGGCCATTTAAAAAGCCGGAAAGAAAGAAAATATGAGAGTGGACTTCAAAGGAAACGGAAACTCGCTCTTAATCATTGAGCACATGGAAGAAATGATTAAGTCAAAGAGATTAACAGAAAATTTCAAAGGGCAGCTCAAGAAGACAGAGTAAAATATTATAGTCAGATGTACAAGCACCTAGAGTTAGAAAACTGAAAATAAAGAACCGGCTCAGCGTATCTTGAGCTGAAAGAACTCAGCAAAGTACTGAATGATGCAGGAAGCATCAAAAGGAAGAAAGAATCCACAGAGTCACTGTCCCCAAAGAACTAGTCAACATGCAGTCATTTTGAGAGGTAGTATATGAGCAAAACACAATAAGATTGTGCACTGAAAGCATTAGCCCAAACCAAGGCTCCAGAACTTGATGGTCTACCAGGTGTTCAAACAGTTGATGAAGCACTGGATGCACTGACTGGTCTATGGCAAGATATATGCAAGACAGCTACGTGGCTGTCTGGAAGAGATGTATCTTTGTACCCCTACCAAAGAAAGATGACCCAACAGGATGTCAAAATTATAGAACCACATCACTGATATCACATGCAAGTACAATTTTGCTGAATCTCAGGCAACAATGGCTGTAGCAGTTCATTAACTGGGAGCTGACAGAGGTTTGAGCTGGATTCAAAAGAGGATTTGGAACAGGGGATGTCACTGCTGAAGTCAGATGGATCCTGGCTGAAAGCAGAGGATACCACAAAGATGTTTACTTGTGCTGCATTGACTATGCCAAGGTATGCAACTCTGTGGCTCATAACCAACTAAGGATAGTCTTGGGAAGAATGAGAATTCCAGAATAGTTCAGTGTGCGCATGTGGAACCTTTGTGTGGACCAAGAGGTAATAGTTTAAAGAGAACAAAGGAACTTTGTTTAAAATCAGGAAAGGTGTGCATTGGTTGTATCCTCTTTGCCATACTTATTCAACCGGTATACTGAGTCAACACTCAGAAAATCTGGGTTATATGAAGAAGAATGTGGTATCAGGATTGGAGGAAACTTTTTCGCAACCTGTGCTATGCAGATGATACAACCTTGCATGCTAAAAGTGAGGACTTGAAGCCCATGCTGATGAAGATCAAGGATCACAGCCTTCAGTGTCAATAACAACTCAGTGTAAAGAAAACAGCATCCTCACAACTGGACCAAGAGGTAACATCATGATAACTGGAATAAAGATTGAACTCATCAAGGAATTTGTCTTGCGTTGATCCATATAATCAATACTCGTGCAAGCAGCAATCAAGAGATCAAACAATGCACTGAATTGGGTATATCTGCTGCACAAGGCTTCTTTAAAATTTTGAAAAGGAGGATGCTACTTTGAGAACTAAGGTGTGCCTGACCCAAGTCATGGTCTTTTCAGTTGCCTCAGTGCTACCTCAATAGCTACTGACAACAGCACCAAACGTGTGCTCAAAACTAACAGTTGTGAGGGTCGTGCAGGGCCAGGTGGCGTTTTGTTGGGTTGTTTATCTCTGCTGCTCCTTACTACCTTGAAATCCCTCTCACCCATCACAGCCTGCTCCCCTGTCACCTTCTCCAAATAGGCAGAATTAGTTCCTCCTGTTATATATATATTTTTAGCACAGTCATTTCTCTACTGAGCACTAAACACAACGTAATATAAAGGTGTTGACGTATATTCCATGTTTTCTTAACTGCAAAGCACCAAATAACACAGACCATACTTCAAGTACTTAGGAAAATCCAGCACATTGCAGTTACTACAGATCAAGAAAAATTGAGTAACTTTTCTTTGTAAAAAAATTTTTCATGTCAGGTCTTTTATCTTCCTCAATCATTCATAAAAGCAAAATTAGCTATCCTGCACTAATTTACAGGATATTTAAATTTTGATCCAAGTTGATACACTAAGAAAATTCTTTTTCATTTAAATGTGTGTTGGCATTGCCTAGATTATGAAACAAGACTTACTTTTCCAAATGAACACTTCAAGTGGGAAATTTTCTTATAAAAGCCAGCAGGCAAATAAAATTTGATATACTAGAATTTTGTAATAGGCAATTGATGAAGACAGCATTTCTTATGCAAAACAGTGCTTTCATCTCAGATACATTCATAGCCCTGTAGACATTAAGGCCTGTAACAGTGTTAAAAAGATTTTAAGTCATAACCTCATCTCTAATCATAGCTAATAGAGTGAAATAAAAATAGCGTAATTATTTACCACCATGAAATATGACTATACTAGTCTCTTGATTAAGCACTCTAGGCATTTCAAACCAAGAGGTGCATCTGGAAGCTTAAAAAACCCTATAGGACAGTGCTACCTCAATAGCTACTGACAACAGCACCAAACACGTTGCTCTGGCAGTGCTCGTGGTTAAACTAGAGCATGCTCCCAGACCACCAATGGGCATGGTCATTCCTTTAGCTTCACTCTTTTCAGGTCTTGGCACATCGTTTTACCAAAAGAAAGCCAGTATTAGGATGTGCTACAGTCACTGAAATACAGGGCTCATTCTTCGTGATAGAGTTGGAACCCTGGCTAAGTGCTTGACTGCTTGCTGCGAGGTCGGCCATGGGAACCCACAGCTGCTCGCAGGCAGGACAAAAAGGTGGCGGTCTGCTTTTGTCAAGACTGACAGCCTTCCCCTGGTAATGGCTGTGGGGCCCGGTCAATGTCACCCCACAGCAACCCCGTGTGAGGGAGTCCAACTACCCCAGAGAGTTGGTTGCATGGGCTGTAATCTTTACCAGAGCAGATTGGCAAAGTCTTTCAACCAAACAGCCATGACAGCCTCCAACAGCTGATTTTTCAGCTAGTAGTTGAGCGTGTAACCACGGTGCCATCAAGGTTCCTCAGTCACTTCAGTGGCTGCTTTTCTAATTTAAAGAACAGTAGCAACAAAATAAAACATAGCAACAGAGCCAAGACGCTAACCCAGTCCCAATCTAGGAAGGGGACGTTAGGAAAGAAAAGACACAGAGCAGCAGAGAAGCCGGGTTTGAAAGGCAGCAGACATTCGAGCATGGGAGCTCATGCTGTAAATTTCCACTCTTCATTTCCACTGGGAAGGTGGCCCAGAAGCACTTATCCTATTGGTAGAAATGGAGCCTTGCCCAGGTAGGGCTAATCCAATGACTCCCTTTTAATAACTCTCAAGTTCCTACACAACACAATGTTCATTTCTACAGTTCTTATATGCTATAAGCAAATTAGATCATGAATGGGTGAATCGCTATGCATCAAACTCTCTCTTCTTCTGGGCTTTTGCTCACATGACGCTGTCTGCTTGAGATCCCCATCTCAACTCTGCAGCGTTCCATGTCAACCATCGGGCATTCCCAGCTCTGTTTCCGGAGGGCCCATCTTGTCTATTCTCATAGCATTGAGATCCACCGTCTCAAGGCTCTTTATCCTCCTCCTCCATAGGAAGGCTGTTAGCACATTTCCTGCCCCCCTTCCAGAGTGAAAACTCTCTGATGGCAAGACTTGACTTGTTTGTTTTCAGAGTGGGCACATGCTTGGTTTAATAGAACAGTACGGA